CATGTAATACTGAACAAGAGAAGTCTTTATTTATTGAAGTTTAAAGTAACAGCCAACTCTACCACCCTCTTTTTAATATTCTTTCCAGGTTCTTCTCTGTCCTAAAAGATAGAACTTTGAATTTTCAGTGGCTTTTCCAAAATAGAGCCCAAGTTGAAGCTTGCGTAAAGCGTAGACTTATCAGATCTGAAAAATGTATGTATCAGTGGAATGGCAGAGAATGTCATTCTTTTTTTAAAGAGCACTGCTGCACATTTAGTTGTTAGAATAATGACATACAGTCATGTAGCGGTACCTAGAATGGAATCGTTTAGAATTGGCAAAGAAGGCTGTGCTTCCATTAAAAGTATCTAGGTGACTAGGTGTCAGCTAATGGGTTCATGAAGCAAACTGGTAAAAGTGTAATTCATGGTTCAGGTTTGATGATGACCCAAAGTCAAGAGAAGGGGATCTTTTTCTTTTCCTGTCCAAATTCTGTATTTCTTTGAGTTAGGGATACCTCTGCAAAAATGATTATTGGCTTTCAGTTTTTCTTCGGCGAATTTTCAGATGGACAGTGCTGGACGTCACCACTGTTCTACGAATATATGTTAAAGATCACTCCCCAGGGGGGTTCACAGTGCACTGCCAAACACAGGTGAAAGCTGTCACAAGTTTCAGTGAACACAAGCCAACGAAGGAAAAGGGTATGGCGTTTCACTTCCAATTGGGCAGCACGAGTGAACACTCATTTGTGTTTCTGCTTGGCAAATTGACCTGCTCAACCTCTGAAGAACCCGACTTAAGGGCATGACCATAAAACACCAGCACATGAACTTACGTGTGGGTTTGGAGGGAGACCTTTTTCTCCCCAATCTACACTGACTTCTCCATATTTTCTCTACTGGATTACTTTGGGAAACTCTGCTTCAGATCAAGTTTACTTTTTTCTGTAAGACAAAGGCTCATGGAATTTAATTTTCTGTGTCATTCTATGTAGTTATATCTATGTAATTATATACGATACCTTTCATAGTAGATCTAGAAATTTAACAATTCTCCTTAAAAACATCATATCTCCCAGGGCCACACTAGCATTGGCTTCTTTTATGTGTGACGAGGTACCTATTAGTTAGCAAGGAATTTATTGTCATTTAAATTGTTATATATGTAGTTGGGTTATATTTTAGTGTAAAGGTCAAGTCTATTTTCTATTTTCCACTGTAAAACTGGCATGTTTTCAAGTTAGAGGTCTTGTTTTTTTTTCCCCAATTGTATTTTATCATATGATTGGAAAGTTGCAAAATGCAGTGATTCCCAGTGGGTCTTCTGTTTCTTCAACAAAAGAGTGAAATGTTGTTTGGTTGGCAGTCACTCAAAGTGCGTTAAACTGAAAAGTACTTCATCATTATTCTTCTGAGACCTTGGAATAAATAAACTTCACCTAATGAACTCCTCCTCCAAGGTTACAATGGTTTTGTAATTGCAAGCATTTAATTAGCCAACTTATGAAATGAATTTTTCTGTAACATGTGAGATACTGAAACAAAAGGAAAAGTAGGAAACTTATTTGCAAATATATGGTTGTTCATAGTTATTATGAAGGGTAGATAGTGGCTTTTGGTATACTTTACAGTAATGGCTTTTGGTATACTTTACAGTAAAAATGTCTTCTTGTAAAAAAAAAAAAAAAGATGTAATTATATGGTTCTAAAGCACCTTTGCAGATTCATTGGCATTTGGATAGGCTGAACTTTGGTACCTTTGCCTTAGCCTTTTCTTTAATGGGTTCTGATTTGAATTGAGTAGTTTTCAGGGTTTTTTTCAAGTTTGTCCTTGATATGTGAGGAAGATAGACATAGCATGTGTAGTTTCTGGAATGAAACTACCTGCAGATGATCTGTTTAAATGGGCAAACCAGTATTTTATGTCTAAATGCATATGTTGGAAATATAATCAGTTCCTTGAACAATTAAAGCAATATGTTTTAAAGGAACTTAATAGGCATTATCCCAGAAATCTATTTATGTTGTAAGCTATGTTATAATATGAGATCATTATAACATTCAATATCTACTGAATTCAAAGTGAAAGAGAAGCTAAACTGAGCTATGAGATAATACTTGTCCCTCAGGAATATAGATTCTAAGGAACTGGCTAGTTTTGAGAGTTTATGTTTCCATTGCTTTATAGTCAAATCTTGACCTAAGAGCTTGTGTAATCCAGGGGGGCAAGTAATGCTAGTCCATAAATTCAATTTAGTTCAGATTTATGATTTCTAAACATACTTTTAAAACTTGTTTAGTGTCATATTTAAGTTGTATCAGGTTGCCTACAATATAAACTATGGAGAGGAATAAATAAAAGATAGGCCACAAAGGACTGCAGTGGTTTTGCTTCTTTTCTTTTTAAAGAACATTTTATAAAACTTAAATTGTTTGGACAGCTGAGGATTATCTTGGCCCATTCAGACTGCTATAACAGAACACCATAGGCTGGGTAGGTTATAGACAACAGAAATTTATTTCTCACAGTTCTAGAGGCTGGGAAGTCCAAGATCAAGGTGCCAGCGGATCCTGGTGCCTGGTGGAAGCCTGCTTTCTCATAAGTGGCACCTTCTCGCTGTGAGGAGGGGGCTAGCTAGCTGTCTGGGAACTCTTTTATAAAGACAGTAGTCCACCTAATCACTTCCTAGAGGCCTTAGCTCCTAATACCATCACCTTGGGGGTTGGGATTTCAGTATATGAGTTTTGAGGAGACACAAACATTCAGATCATAACAAGGATGATGGCAGAAAAGAGCCACTGTCACATATTGTATATAAGTGAGGCTCAGTTTTCTTTTAAGCAATAGGTTTGGCAGTAGCAGTTGATGGCAACAGACAGAAGGGGAAGCTCATTTAGGAAAGATAAGAGGGAAGTATAGGCCTTTAAGACACTCCACTTAACAGAGTTCCTAGCTGGCTCTGGTCATTCACCTTGGACTTAAATTCTATGACCAAAGATTCTGTCCCTTAAAAATAAGTATAATCTTAAGAATAAGAATCCAGGAGTCACTATACACTTTATAGATGACATAATTCTACATAATCCTGACTTGATTTCATATGCAATGTAATCTGTTTTCTAGAGTCTTATCTTGAGCCATAAATTATAACATCAGATGTAAATATGATTCACGTACCAAATACCAATAAACGTAGTTAGAGATTCCGTGAGCAATCATGAAAATACCATATACCTAATGTTAACCAATGTAATATGCTCCATAAAATGACCATTTTTGGAATAACCCCAATTAACTCATTTCTTTTTATTATTTTGGTTAAATCCAAATAATTCTATAAAAGTATGATATAGGATTGCCATTATTTAAAATCCTACTTCATCCTGTTTCTCTGGCTCTAACTTTAACTAACATGAAGAAATACTAATTTAATGAGACACACAGACATGAACACAGACACATGAGAATATTAAGGGTCTTTCATTCTTTTTTGGAATATGTCTCTTCCACTTTTGTAGAAATAAACCCAAGTCCAGTCCCTAAGCTTTAGAACCTCTTTGGTGATGTTGACTTTATAACTAGTGGGGCAAACGTCTAAAAATCTCCACTGACTACATTTTTGGGGGATACCAAAGTGTCTTAGAATTTTGGTGACATTGGAGATGAGGTGGCCGTTGACATGTGGGGGTTTCCAGGCTGTGAGGGGCTGCCTGAGAGCAGCAAGGTGGGGCGAGGCTTTGGAGACAGCCAACCTGCTTATGAATCATGTGAGTGTCGGGCTTGATTAAAATTCTCAATTTTCTTTGACACTGGGGCTGATCTCTTGATTTGTTTTTCACTCCTGGTTCTACTAATGTGTTTTTTTACTCCTCTAGGGGTGGTAAGAGGCCTATAAATAATACCTTACGTAGCACTTCCTCTGCTCTCTGCCCTTTGTTCTCATCTTTGGTGAGTTCGGTGAGCGTTTAGCTTTTTCTAGGGAAACATTTTTCAATCATTAAACCTTTGGGCGAAGAATGCAGAAAAACAATTTTTAACCCCCTCTTTATCTTTTTTCAATACCTCTCAGAAGGTTTGAAGTGAGAGAAAAGAGCACGTTGTTTGGATCATGATGAATAGCAAAATTATGATGCTTTCCTGTTTTCCTTTGACAGTGTAGGAAGTGTCTGTGTGTGTAATATGTGGGATATAAAGTCTGTCAAATGTGTTTTGCTCTCATTTCCATTAATTTTTTTATTGCTATGTATTGCTAAGTTATCAAAATGTCTAGTAGTCTTAGAAAGCAGAAGCTATGAAAAAGCATTGTTTGTTCCATGGCTAAGGTTAATCGATCTATTATTATCAGGATAGATCTGTTGTCCCCTGAGCTTGTGTATTTTTAAATTCATGTGGAACCACACTTAAAGGGTAAAGGTTTTATTAGCATCTCAATGAGACGGGAACATGTGTCAGCTGAGAAATATATATTAAAGGAAGACATGTTGGCTGTCTTTAAGCATCAACAAAGTTTTACATTCATCCTACTACACACATCATGTTTTTCACATATCTGAGATAAATCTTGGTTCATCTCTGATATTTCACCTTATTTAAACTTGCCTTGTGAAGTCAAAACAGAATCCTCATGATGGTGGCTATTTTTACACACTGTAGGCTCTACCCACACGGACAATTTTTGAAATGTATATTTTTTCTGTCTTATTTAAAAAGTTTAGTTAAATAATCATTCTTAAGGATTTCATAGTTACATACAGGCAGATATGCAACCAGGATTGCTTTGGCTTCTTTAGGATTGCTGTTTTCCTCTCTGACTTTAGGGGAAAGAGCAGTCTAGTAATTCCATCTAGGTGTGTTTATGAAGATTATGTAATTGATGATATAATGAGCTATCAAGACTCTACAAAAGGAGACATTTGGGAAGTGCTGGTGGGGATGCAGAGGGAGGGGTTGATATTGCTATTTCTTGAGGAGGTGAGAACACTTTTAATTGCTCTCCATTCATTTGGTCTTCCTAGGTGGATAAAATTTGAAGAAAAGGTGGAACAGGGTGGGGAAAGATGGAGCAAGCCCCATGTGGCCACGCTGTCCCTCCACAGCTTATTCGAGCTGAGGACGTGTATGGAGAAAGGATCCATCATGCTCGACCGGGAGGCTGCTTCTCTCCCACAGTTAGTGGGTAAGTTTGCCGCTTTAACTTCCGGTGACTCAGGTTTGCCTGCCCATGTGTCTCCATCAATGCAGATGGTGACGAGTGTGACGATGTGACAGAGTTGAATATTCTGTAGCTTTTATTCTCTCTCTTTTATATTATAAAACTAGTGTGATTTATTGCAGAAAATTAGAAAAATACAGAGAAATAATTAAGAAAAATTTAAAAGACCACCCATAATACCTCTCTCTGGCCACGGCCATTGTCAACATTTGAGAATGTTTCCTTCCAGAGCTTCTCTCTTATGCTTCTCGTTTTTATGTTATTTTCATTACCATTGGGATCATATTGTATACACACAGATTTGCATTCACCTTCTTCACTTGTTAGCATAACATTAATATTTTCAATAGAGCGCCTGTACCCACCCCACCTTGGTTATATTGGACTGGAAGTCTGGACACTAGATTTCTAGAACTCTTTGACCTTATATTTGCATTGAGCTTCTGTGGACTTCATTTTCATCATATGATAAATATGCCTTAAATCCTCTGTGAGTAGGAAAATAGTCTACTTTCTGGGTTGGGCCTGATTATAGGTGAAAGTCAAGCCCCTTTAGTTGTGTGTAGAGAAATATTGTGTGGGTCAGGGATCTAGCAGGACCTTAAGAGTTGGTAACTGAGCCAGGTCACATTGGTGCCAAGTGTCATTTGTATCAGCACAGCAAAGTCACTGAACCTGACAGTGCGGGGCCCCTTTGTCATCATGTGCAGTTAGTGTTGTGTGCATTGAATGTTAACTCACCATGCTGAACATGCTGGGCACACATCACCGCATTCCAAATTGGAGTAATTGTTTTTCTTTTCTACCAAGAGCCTGGCCTACATGGCCTATTATCCTTCAGATCTAGATGTGCCAAAGATCACGTTTTCCTTAAAAAGAGAGATGAGGGCTCTTTTGCCACTTGTTCCTAGGAAAATTCCTGTAGGGCTGATGGTGCTTTCTCAAGAGATCTACAGTATTCCTTCCCTGGGATTGTGGGTAAGAGGATGTGGATCATGGACCTGCAGAAAGTGACCAGTGTGTCATTGTTATGTAATTTCAGAATTACTGCAAGATTTCTTTGTATATCTATAGACGAAAGGCTTGTCTATGGCATCTGTGTCTTTCTAGACAATGTGAAGGCCACAGCATGTGTGTTGGAAGAAAAGATTAGCTGTCAAATGATGTATATCTGGCTGAAGTATATATACCCAGTTCTTTTTCAGAGAGCTTGTTAGTTAGATTTGCAAAGAAGCCCCACGCTTTTCATGCATCTGAAGTATTTAAGGTATAAGCATAGAAGGGAGAAGGACTAATGTGTAGATGCTGGGTGGACAGAAATAATTGTTTCATGCATGTATTTGGCAGTGGTACACGAGCTTCTGCAATGTGCCAGACACTGTTCTAGGCCTTGGAATTAGGTTTGCAAATCTACCACTTTGTAAATGGGATAAGTTACAAATCCACATAGGTCCAAATCCACAGAGATAGAATATGATGGAAGAAATATTGCTCTATTGAATTTTTCATGTTGAACAAGACAGGAGAGGCTGAACATGGAAATTTGATACGTGACGAGAGATCTGAGAGTACGGAACCTAGGGAGAGTAGAGCCCTTCTACCAAGACAGAAACAAACAGAAGGAATCGTTTTTCTGGGGGATTTGTTCCATGGAATTTTTGGTTCATTATAATCTGCAAGAGAGATTGTTATCCAAATAAGTATCGTGATTAGCAAAAAATCAGTCCAGTTTTTGAGTGAGAATTGTGATCTCTGCATTGTCAGACTTTCAGAACTAACCTGGAGCAAAGATGTCAGAAATTACACAAGTTCAAAAATAAATCAGAAGAACAATGCAGGGCAAACTGGAGAAGCAGCTGGTGACTAGGCGATGTACAGGCAATCTAGGAGGAGAGCAAGCGTCACCAGAAAGGTTCCCATATTAAAAAAAAACAACCAAAAAAACAGTCTTACCATGGTCATCGTTACTGCCTGAAGTTTCCATATTCAGAGATTCATTCCAAAGCGCTCAGAGTTTGTCCTTTATTAAAACATATGTACCGCCTGGAAAAGGGTCATATGTTAATTTCCCGAGATGCAGAAAGGTAGCATAGAAAGAATGCTGGGATTTGAAGTTGGAGGCAAGTGGTTTAACTAAAGTTTACCCCTACCAGCATGGGCAAGGTGAGTTACTTAACTCTCTTGGAGTCCTGGTTTCCTTGTCTATAAAAGGATGAAACTGGACCTTTCAGGGTTGTTATGAGAATGAAATGAGCTCATCAGATGTAATTGTTACGTGCTTACGCGTCTATCCTGGTAGGAATTAGTTTATACAAATCTTTCTGCATGTCACCTAGCCGAGGGCTGAGTGTAGACTGATGGAGTCAGATAGATGCTCAGAGTCTTCATGAGAAAGAGAAAAGATTCTGAAAGGTTTGGTGGACAGAGCTGGAAACAACTGAGTACCTTTTGCCATTCTTGTAGCTGATCAACAAGGATGATGAAAGTTAAAGTTGGATTACACATTTGGCCTTTTCTTGTAAAACCATTTCTGGAATCTTCAGCACCGAAAGCTCTTAAGGAGCTTCTGGTCTTCAGCAAGTAATTGACCCTTTACGTGTGCAAGACAGAATCCTGTGTTATATTGGGACGTCTTTAGCCAATGGCCAAAACAAGAAGTTTGGTATTTACTACATTTAAGAGAGTTTAATGAAGCATTTTACATTCTCCCTTTAGTTTTCCATTACTTTTTATCATCAGCTGTGAACTTGTTCTCTAACCTCCATGCATTTCCTTGAGAAATTGTCATTCCACGTTAAAATTAGAACCCACTAGGTCACTTTGAGGCATCGTCACTCACTAATATGTTTGAGCTGCAGTCCCCGGGGCGAGCCGGCCGAGCGCCAGCGCTGTCATTTGTGGAGCTGATGCGACAGAAAAACAGCACAGAGGCAACGACACATCACAGGCAAACCAAAGCGGGGAAAGAGGGCCAGGTTTGTGGGAGTGGGGAGAAGAGTGAGTTTGAAAGAGTGTAACTGCGAAAAAGAAATACTTTAAGACCCTCTGGAGCAATCAAAACCTTGCAGAGGGGAAAACATGAAGGCAAAAAGCCCTTATTTCATTTTCAATGCTAAAAGATGGCACAGGAACTTGAAGAGTCTAGTCATGATTTGGATATTTAAAAAGAAGTCCTTTTCTGGCAGAGGATGAAGTGCAGTTGTTCTGTCCTGAATCGCGCTGGTAATTCTGAGTCAAGAATTATGCATAGCTAAGTCACAAGCTGCGTCTCCCCCGGCACCCCAATTTTATTTCAACAAATAAGAAGGAAAAGAAATAATAGCAAGTGTGATTATATCAAGCAAACAGTAGCATGCTTTTCACCTTGCTTTGCAGTTGTCCCGTTGCTCCTCCTCTTTGGGGTGCCTCTGAGGGGCCCCCCACCTGCAGGTCCACGTGAGGCCAGGCGCCACGGTGGGTGACCGTTTACGCACGTGTTACTTCTCAAACGTATATACAAATTCCAGCCTGTTTTTGATTCTTCTCGGGACCTCTACTTGTTTTTTTTCACGAGGAACCTCTTCTGAATGTTAATAGAAAAATTTATCTTTAAAGTATTATAAAGGATAAAACATCATTTTCGCAGATTATTTTAATAGCTTTATTATTAGTATCATCATCATCATAATTCTACATTTAAAGAGTGTCATTCACATATGAAAACAAGTCTATGGCAATTTTCTTCCCCTCCTAAGTTAAAAAAAATATTATAAGCCATTTCAGGTATTTTATTATGATGGGAAATGGATTGGGAAAATGTAGCTCTATTTTTGGAGTTCTCATTTTTATATTTAAAGGCATTCCTGAGCTGTGCACGTTGGCAGATGTGTTAGTCCTGTAGTTTCTTACTTTTTACACCTTTTATATTTTCAAAATGGCAATGCCTTTTTTCCTAATCACAAAACTAATATATGTTCCTTTTTAAATATGGAAAAATATAATGCACAAAAATAAAAATACCCACTAATCTAATCTCTCAGAGTTATCCTCTCAGCATTTTCTCTGTGCAACTCTATTACACGTATATAATTGATTTTACAAAATGGGATCCTACTCCATCATTTTAGCTTGCCCTTTTCTAAACTTAAGAACCTAATATGAATATTTTCCCATGTCATTAAATAGAAATATAAACATCATTTTAATGGCTGCAGAATTTTCCATAATGTAATATTGGGCATTTAGGTTGCCTTCAAGTTTTAACTACAAAGAAAAGAATGAACGTCTTTCTTATATTTTTTGTGAAGTTGATTATTTGTTTAGTATAGATTTCTAATGGTAAAATATTCAAAAGGTTTGAACATAGTCAAGAATTTGGATATGTATTTGCCAAATGACCTTCAAGAAAATTTGTACTTGGTCAATACTGTGCTCAGAAGGTTAGAAAGGTTTTATAGTTTATGCTTAAAGAGATCCCTGTCATGGCGGCCATTTCTGTAGAAACTTAACGAAGGGCATAGGCCACGCTGATGTTCTCACCTGTTCCAACTGGTGATTTCCCGGCACTAGTAACAGAGGCTGGCTGTGGATTCTCACGGTTGGTTTGAGATTTCAAGGGAGGGCAAGAATAGAGAGGGAGGCCCTGTCAGGAAGGGCAGATAAGAACATTTTAACGCACAACCCTGGAATTAGAGTAGGAGTTTGATAACATTTGTAGCAGATATGCTGGGGCTGTTTGTTTATTTTTATGCTTTTTCTATAAAATGGACTTTCTGTTTTAAAAAAGACTTAAGGGGAAAGCAGAGGGGTATTCTGTAGACACCTAATTATTTTACTGTGGAACAAGAGGGTTAATTGTAATTACAGGACCAGTTTTGAGAGTTTCTGAATGAGGTGTGTGTGGTTAAAAATACTCAGAGCTGAAGTCCACTCTCAAACCAGAACATTCCTATGGGACAGACTCTTCTTGTCTTGCCCAGGCTTTCTACCAGGTGTCCAATGTTATGTGACAAACATGGCATCTGTGTGAGGCATGTGATGGAAATTTCTGAATTCAGCCTCTGCTTGGCTTCCTGGTTGATTGTGAACTATGTAAATTGCCAGTTTCTAGCTATAGGCTGTGTGAGCGCTTGCTATGAAGATGGACTTCTGAGAAGTGTAGTCATGTCCAAGCAAAACTCCTTGAACATCTGTAACAACTTCTCTCTACAAAGAGGTGGGGATCTTTGAGAGATGCTGTTATCCTACCAGTACTCATCCATTTTCTTATCAGACTTTTGGGAAAAAATAGATTTTCCTGTCTTCTCTGCATTTGTATACTGGTTTGCCCAAGAACAAAATATGTCCGAAAGGAAAATATGGATGTGTGCTAGATGCATTCATGTACCAGGAAAGGTAGATATGAGATCCATTGTTCTGGCAGTATGGGGACAAAAGCTCTACTTGCATGTAGTGAGGTGGCCTCGTGACAATGCATATCTTGCACAGATTCTGTAATGTTTTGTCCTCAGCCCCTTCTGGGTGGAGATCAATGTTGGCTTGCTCTGCAGATGTTAGTGTAGGATGCACCAGCCTACATTTATGCCATACTGATGGCATGCTGACTTTTGAGATAGGATTTCTTATTTCCTTTTGGAGTAAGAACTTGTCCTTCAGCAGAGCAACACATGGAGCAATTTCTATAAAACACAGGCATCTTTTTAGTTAAAATCATACTAAAAAAGAACTAATAGAAATTTAAAATTTTTTGTAGTAAAACTAAGCTATTCAAATTTCATAAGAAATTCTAGTGAGTTTACACTTTAAAATAGCTAATGGAAATATATTGGAAAGGCTTTATTTAGTTGGTCTGAACAAGTACAATACGGCTCCCTTCTTGAAAAAGACTAAGCCATAATTTTGTGACTTAATCTTTCTTTCCTTGGATTAATTGATGTTCAAACCTGATATTGGGAAAGGTATTATTTTCCTTTGCCTTATTCTATTATAAAGAAAATAGAACATTACCAAAGAATATGGGAACACAGATTTTAAAAAAATCAATCTCATTACTTTAAATTTTGCCTATTCTCTTCAATTTTTTCATATCATTTATATTTTTGATATATTTTATATGAGAGTACATGAAAATTTTGAATCTTACCTTTTTAAATTGAAAAAATATAAATTACGGACTTATTGTGTTACTCATAGAAGAATTTGATTTATGTGAATTCACCATCATAACTAGGAGTGAAAAAGTGAACAAGACAATTCTGCCTCTCTAAACATAAAATTAATATTGTAATAATATTTATAACTCTCATTAATGCCAGTGTCTCCGTATCCTGAATCTTTATCCTATACATTAAGTGGGAAGTTGGAAATTTGGAAAATAATATATCAATGTTAAATGTGAGGGTAACATTAAGAAAGTTAGAGCAAAAAATTAACTTCATGGTCCTGTTGACTGAGTTTTGTTTTTGTTTTTGTTTTGCTTTGTTTTTGTATCAGAGATGATTGTTGACCATCAGATTGAGACAGGCCTATTGAAACCTGACCTTAAGGATAAGGTGACCTACACTTTGCTCCGGAAGCACCGGCATCAAACCAAGAAATCCAACCTTCGGTCCCTGGCTGACATCGGGAAGACAGTCTCCAGTGCAAGTAGGATGTTTACCAACCCTGATAATGGTAATGTGGGCCAGGTGGCTGCTGCTCTCTCTTACCTGTCTTGTTCACCTTTACTCCATCTCTTGTCATTTTTTTTAACCCCTCTCCATATTTCTTCTCTTCTTGAGTTCATATGCCACAGCCATTTCATAATCACACTTTTTGATCCAAACTGGGCAGGTTTACAGTCTTGCTGGAAAGGTTTCAGCAGTTATTAGTGGGTTGCAAATGCCATGGTGCCTTGTTTGCCCCACATACCTCTATCCTACTTGACTGATACGGTTTGGGAATGACTCCGTGATGAAACAACTGAGTGTGTCAGATGAGCCAGCAAACTCTGAGATTATTGACTACATCAGGGGAATATGTTTCAACATGGTTTGCCACATGAGGAGGAGAATAGTCAGATATGATAGATGCCTTGACATCTCATTCACGAAGTGCTTGCTTGGTGTGTGAAATGGTGTCCAGCTTGTACAAATGATCATTTTTATCAAAGTAAGACTCAATGTTATTTTTTACCACTTAAAACAACCAATCTGCTCTCCTTCTAAATGATAATGATAGTCAGATGTGAGAATAATTATTCAAGATGGGATATTAACCTCATTATTTTGCAATAGGGAAGGCACTATGTCTTTTTTATACTTTATTGAATTTACCAGAGTTGCCTGTAAAGTGTCTATCTTCTGTATCATTGTCATTATTTCAAATAAATTTCATGATTGGGTGAAATCTGAGGAGAGAAGTCAGTTTCCATGAAATATGGGAAATGAAGGCGTGGTGGAAAGAATTGCTAAGCACTGGTCTGGTGGGACTAGGTCTAGACTCTCACTCCACCCCCAATCTTTTTTAGTAGTAAGAAAAGTGAGTAAATAAAGGGAGATTTTAATTTACTGCCCTCAGCTTCATGTTCAGAATAACGTAAAACATACAGTCATGGAAAAGGTGGCTTAAGTGAATTGGATAAACTGACTTTCAACTCTGCCACTCTGTTTCTGGAAATGGAGTTTTTTGACTTAAAGTTAATGGTCGGCTGAGAGAAAGCTGACTATTTGCAAACTTTCTCTGACATATTTTTTAAAGCAAAACTGGTTATAAGCAAATAATTAAAAACTAAAATACTCTTTATTAAAAACATTCACAAGAAAGAATCTAATCTAAAACCTTCCTGCTACAATTGGATGATTCTACTGCTACCTGGAATATTATTGTTGGCAGGAGATATTTTGGTTTTGTGACTCCTCTGTTTTTTTGTTTTTAATTGTGTTTTTGAAGAAAGAAGTTGTTTACTGTTTGAAAAGGCTACAGGATGAGTAGTTTATTATAACTGATGTCACAAATATTTCATTTTAAACAGCCACTCATATTTTTGAAGTTACAGCAATTAAAGTTGAAGTCCCTCTTTTCTATCTTATTGAATAATCCTCTTTCTCATAGAAAATGAAGTTCTAATATATTTGGAGATTTTTTTTATGAGGTTGGTGGTAGTGTAAAGAAGGAAGTGCCTTGTTTTCAAATACTGCTATATGTGCAAAAAGAAGAGGAATGAATATGGCAGTCCAGGAGTCTTTCTACCTGTGTAGTGAGCTTCCTTTTCTGGAGCTGCAGGCAGTGTAGGCAGAAATTAGGCACAAATGGATCTTGCTTTAGGAGAAAGTATTTGGATGTGGAATACAACTGATGAGTTGATAGCACGAGTCATTCAATCGTTTATCTTATCAGTAGATCTCTGTACTTCAGAGGAAAGTTGAAATTGCCTTGGTCATTTACCTTTTCACTTGTGAAATGTTCTATAGGCTGGGCAGAAAGCAACCAGGAAGGGCAGGCAGTTCTTTTCTGGCTCTTCAGCTGATCAGCTTACACCCTGAAGTGTGGATACCGTTAGGCCTTTCGAAACATGTTATTATTGGCCTTAGTGCTACCTAATTTGTTTTAAATATCCAGAGGCAAGATATCGCTTTGAGAAATCCGATAGCAGTGAATTTCATGCACCTCCGAGGTGCATTACTATAAATTATCAGATGGTAAATTTTTGGCTTTGTAAAGTTCCTCGTTCTTCACTTGCAAGTTTATACAGTTACCTGTATATCTTAGGGTTTAATTAATATCTTTAACAACTATGAAATGTTCTTAGAATACATTTTTAAAATAAAGAATCTTAGAACTACTATAAGTAGAATTATTGCTACTGTTTTAATAAATCAGAATCTTACATCTGTTGTAGTGTCATTACCCATAGCTAAAGACTAAATCTCATCTTTTAGGATCCTAGTGTGGGTCCTAGTGTGTTTTTCAAAAGGAATGAAAAATATTTTTATTTTGTAATATATCAGAGAATAATCAGGCTAGCTTCCAAGATGTTAATTTTTATGAAATTGCTCCTTCTCTGAGCCATCTGTGAATTCTGATGGCTATGTCTGCCAGGTACTAAATTTTAGGCAGATGTTATAATTTCTCAATATATTAATTGAGGCATTTCTATAGAGATACTGTTACATGAAGAAATTAATGAGATTTTTGTTTCCTCTGGTGTTAGATTTTCCTTTACCTACTCTTTATTTCACTATTGTTTTAGGTTGAACTATATGAAACTGCCATTTTTGTGGGTAAAATCAAGTTGATTATCAGCAGTTTAACATAATTCTACCTAATAATTTGGTCTGAGATACTTAGATAATAGTTGTATATTATTTTAGTTTATTATGAAAAAATAATGTTTAAGCCTGGGAACATTCCTTGGTAGTATTTAAAAAACCAAGTAAGATATATTTAGTTTGCCTTTTATTAGAAAGTGAAAGTAAAGTTTATACTTAATTGATATTCATTCAATAAATATTTAATAAGTTATGACAAGATTAACTGATAGCTGCATTTAAAAAAATCTTAGTTTATAAGATGAGCTGATTTTAAAAATCATCATTTACCATTTAAATGGGTATTTTTGGTATGTATTTTCTTACTCTAAAGATTATAAAAGATGACGGAGAACTGATTTAAAGATCAAAACCAGCAAAAAATTTGAATTTGAGTATTTACTTTTCACTATCTTTGTGGAAATTTGGGTAAAGCCATCATCAGTTTGTTGTTTTCCTGACTTCTCTATTTACCCCCTGGATTATCATAAAGATCAGTGCCTTGCCCTCTGTGGTCTGGGAGTGTATATGCTCTTTATTGAGAATTGGCATTGGTTATCAGGACCTAGAATATGGATTTTGTTTTTCCCCAATACAATTTCATGACCTCAGTTTTTTATTAGTGAAAACTTGTTTCTTTTTTTCAAAAAAAAAAATTGGAAAGATAATGTTGCACTCAGTTTTGATGTCTGCAAAAGAGAAATAATGAAAATTAAATGAGAAGATAGGTATAAAGTGTTTAGAATGGCAATGGTTACATAGTAATCACTCAGTGAAGGTTATTAAATTGCATATAATACGTTTAAGCACATTTAGGGAAGAACATTCTCCTGTTGAGTGGGAGTGGCTTCTGGAATGATACTGTCTGTGTAGGTTACCATTTCAAAAGACACTCACAGATAGATACGGTGCTGATTGATTTCCTCTGCCCTTGGGTAAGTGACACCGATACTCTTCCTTTAGCAGTGGGAGCGGAGGAAGCCCGTTCTCATCACAGCCCTCCTACAGAATAGGCTGTCCCCTTCATCGGTTTTACTTTTTGTTCAGTGGCTATCGGGGGGCCCAGACCACCCTGGAGAGACTTGCCACAGCTGCTGCATCAGGCAGACCAGGAGCTGGAGAAGGTGGCAGCTCCACGAAGGCCAGCTGGCTATCGGCCACATGCATCCCCCCATCCTTTACTCCTAACACTTTGTGGCCTCTTCTGTATTTATAGGGACCCAGGGTCTGCTCCTGATTAAACCTCTGGGTTTTATCTCCAGTTCGCCACTTTCTCCTCCCTTTTTCTCTCTGTCAGGTATTAAAAATGTGCTCCGTTTGCTCCCAATCCTTGTTGTCACCACTTCCTCCTGAACCTGGACTCTTCTTTCTAAAGTTTTCCACCAGGCAGGATGCCCAGCTCTCTTCCACACTGCTGTTGTGACATAAGCACGTGACACCTGTAGGCATTGCTAGAAAGTATAATACATTGCTGTCACCTGCAGTGACATGGATAGTAGTTACCAATGCAGAACAAACAATGGAAAGAAATCAAATTTTTGTTGTTAATAGTAATTCTTGGCTCCACTGAAGTGTAAGTGGTATTAGTTGGGCTCTTTGTTGCCTGGGATCTGATTTGAGGTTGGGCCTATTCAAACTATTCGGTTTGAGTATTAGATCAAGATCAAGGCGCCATGACGCTGGCGTGTATTGGATCTGGCCAAGACCACCGCCAGGTTTGGCACCTTTCTCATTCCCTTCAGAAATTCTTAGCTTTTTGTCTGGGCTTTGGGTTCCAGCTTGCCCACTTGTCTCTAGGTGGGTTGTTCTACTTTGTGGGCCCCCTGCCCCATCCCCTTGAATTCAGACGTGGTCCCTGAGTCAGTAGATAAGGCAGGCATTTCCCTAGCTTAGCTCAAAGGCTCTGTTCTTCTGAAACAGGCCAGGATGCTTCTGTAGTTCTGAGATGGGTCAGCTGACATTTGCAACTCTCAGCCCCATATCACCTCATGATTGGATTCATCTTCCCAGGTGCCTTCCTGCATGCAATTAACTCCTTACAAAACCCAACAACACACGCCCATCTGTTCTCTTCAGGACTCTCATTCTCCATTCATTTTCACAGCACAGATGAATGTCCCGACCACAACCCAGATGAAGATCAAGCTCTTCCCAACCTTAGAATAAATGATCCAATCTATGGAAAGTTTCTAGTAAAGTGCCGGAGTGAATATTTCTTAGTGACAATAGCTACTCTGGTTATTGTTATTATTATATTTCTAATTGTTCCATCAGACATCATGCTTATCTTTTTCCAGGCAGGTGACTGATTTTCTAGATTTATAATATTCAAATCTTTAAGTAAACAACATATTTTCTCCAAGATTCATTTCTTCCCAATGGATT